ACTCTGTGGGTCAGGGCGTCCCCAGGAAGGACAAGGATTTCTGGTCCTTGGGGACACACAGGTGCTGGGGGCCATTAGCTCATTAGCAGCCCACCCTGGTGCCCTCCTGACTGCACCTTCATGCCCTCCCTGTGCCCAGCCCCAGCCCCCTCCCCGTCGCACCCGTGTGCCCACCCCCTGCCCCCTTCACTGCACCCCTGGTGCCCTCCTCACATCCAACCTCCTTGTCCCGACCAAGGCCCTGGGTGGGGGCTGTCAGGGCACCCAGCACACCTCAGGGTGCAGCCCCAGGGCCTCGCCTGACGCCTGCCCTGTGCCTCCCCACCCAGGGTGGCCGACGAGACCCCCCCCCCGAACAAGCAGGTGAAGCCTCTGTTCCGGCACTTCCGCCGCATCGACTCGTGCCTGCAGACCCGGGTGGCATTTCGGGGCTCCGACGAGAGTGAGTGACCGGGGTGGGGGCCTGGGGTCCCCTCTCTGTGCCCCGCTGACCCTGCCTGCCCCGTACCTGCCCCGTGCCTCAGTTTCCCGGTGGGCAGCGCCCGGGGTGGGGCGGGGGGTGCCCTGTGCTGACCTCCCTCACCCCTCCCCAGTTTTCTGCCGCGTGTACCTGCCCGACCACTCGTACGTGACCATCCGCAGCCGCCTCTCGGCCTCGGTGCAGGACATCCTGGCTTCGGTCACCGAGAAGCTCCAGTACTCGGAGGAGCAGAGCGCCCGCGAGGACGCCCTGATCCTCGTCACCATGGCCTCGTCCGGAGGTGCCCGAGGGGCTGTGGGGGGGCTGAGGGCAGGGCTGGGGGGTCCCACAGGTGCTGACCCCCATCCTGTGCCCCGTGGCAGAGAAAGCGGTGCTGCAGCCCAGCGAGGAGTGTGTGTTCACCACCCTGGGCATCAACAGCCACCTCTTCGCCTGCACCAGGGACACCTTCGACTCCCTGGTGAGCTCTGCGGTGGGGACACCCTGATGGGGACCCCCAGGAGGGAACCCCCTGCCAGGACATCCCCCCCTCACCTGCCCAGCCCTGGTGCCACAATCACTCCCTGTACAGAAAGGGGGGACCCCTGTGCTCCACCCCATTTCCCAGTCCCATATTCCCCCGTTCCCACCCCAAGTCCTCCCTCCATTTCCCTGTCCCATGTTCCTGCGTTCCCACCCCAAATCCTCCCTCCATTTCCCTGTCCCATATTCCCATCCCATTTTCCCACCCTGTGGCCCAGCACCCCCCGAGTGCCCCCATAACCTCATGTCCCCCCCCCCCTTCAGGTGCCGCTGCCTGAGGAGATCCAGGTGGTCCCGGGGGACACGGAGATCCACCGCGTGGAGCCCGAGGACGTGGCCAACCACCTCACTGCCTTCCACTGGGAGCTCTTCCGCTGCATCCACGAGGTCTGGGGGAGTCACAGTGTGTGGACACTGCTGTGTGTGCGTGGGGGGGGCTCTGATGCCACGTGTGTAACCTCCCCCCGCCCCTCCCTGCAGCTGGAATTCGTGGATTACGTGTTCCACGGGGAGCGGGGCCGGCGGGAGACGGCGAACCTGGAGCTGCTGCTGCAGCGCTGCAGTGAGGTGCAGCACTGGGTGGGCACGGAGCTGCTGCTCTGCGAGGGGCTGGGCAAGCGCGCCCACCTGCTCAAGAAGCTCATCAAGATCGCTGCCATGTGAGTGGGGGGGTCCCGGGGGGGTCCTGGGGGCGCCCAGCCCGCCCCTCATGTTCTCCCCGCTCCCCCACAGCTGCAAACAGAACCAGGACATGCTCTCCTTCTACGCCATCGTCATCGGCCTCAACAACGCCGCCGTCAGCCGCCTGCGCCTCACCTGGGAGGTGAGGGGCTGGGGGGCCCTGACCCCCCCCCCCCCCGGTGCTCCCTGACCCCCCCTGGTGCTCCCAGACCCCCCCCAGATGCTCCTTGACCCCCCTGGATGCTCCCAAACCTTCCCGGGCCTTCCTGGACCCCCCTAAGTGCTCCCTGACTCTTTCCTTGGTGCTCCCAGAACCCCCCAGAAGCTCTCACTCCCCCCTGTCCAGTGCTCCCAGACTCCCTCTGGTTGCTCCCCAAACCCCTCTGGATGCTCACTGATACTCCCTAGTGCTCCCAGAACCCCCTGGATGTTCCCAGATCCACCCTGGGTGCTCCCAGACCCCTCCTTGTGTGCTCCCAGAACCCCCCCAGGAGTTCTCACCCCCCCCAATCCAGTGCTCCCAGGACTCCTCTGGGTGCTCCCACACCTTCCCAAACTTTCCTGGGCCTTCCTGGACCCTCCCCAGGTGCTCCCAGACCCTTTCCTGGGTGCTCATGGCCTGCCCCTGGGTGCTCCTGGATCCCTCCTGGGTTCTCCCAGACCCCCTCTGGGGTGTTCCTGGTCCCCCCAGGTGCTCCCTGACCCGGTGGACGCTCATGTCCCCCCCTCAATTTGTCTTCCAGAAGCTCCCAGGGAAATTCAAGAACCTGTTTCGGAAGTTTGAGAACCTCACGGTGAGAAATGTCATGTTGGGGCCCCGTGGGGATTCGGGGGTCCCCAGGCTCCCCCCGGGGTATTTGGGGAGCTGGTGGGCAGGGAACTTTCCTGGGGTGTCCAGGGGTGTTTTTACCACACCAGCCCCGTGCCCACGGCCACCAGCATGGGGGGGAGATCCAGGGAACTTTCATGGACCCCCCCAAACCCTGACACTCCCCTTTTTGTCCCCCCAGGATCCCTGCAGGAACCACAAGACCTACCGGGAGGTGCTGGCCAAGATGAAGCCCCCCCTGATCCCCTTCGTGCCGCTCATCCTCAAAGGTGCGGGGGGGGCTCCCCGTGTCCCAGGGGGGGTCAGGGTCCTGCTGAGACCCCATGGGACCCCCCCTAACCCCCCTTCACCCCCAGATCTGACCTTCCTGCACGAAGGCAGCAAGACCCTTCTGGATGGGCTGGTCAACGTGGAGAAACTGGTGGGTGCTGGGGGGGGGATGTGGCTGAGGGACCCCCGTGGTGAGGGCAGGGGAGGGGGGACCCCCCTGAGGGGCTGGGGGTCCCCTGCTTGTGTGGGGGGGGTGAGGGTTCAGCATCCCCAGGGTGCAGAGCAGGAGCCCCGGGGTGGGGTCCCTGATGGTCGGGGGTTGTGGAGGGGGTGCTGGGGGGGGTCAGTGGTCCCTGGGGGGGCCGGGGCTGACTCTGGGGGTCTCTCTCTGCCCCAGCACTGCATCGCCGAGAAAGTGAGAACCGTGAGGAAGTACCGGAGCCGCCCACTCTGTGAGTGGGGGGCACATGGGGGTCCGGGGGGGGGCAAGGAGGGTGTCCCACACAGCCCTGAACCCTCAGTGCTGCCCCTGAGGGACAGGGGTGTGGCTGCACCCCCATCTGCATCCTCACACCCCATTATCCCTGTCCTGCACCCCTTCACCCCTGCATCCCCAAATCCCTACGTCTGCATCCCTTCATCCCTACCCCTCTATCCCTTCATCCTCACCCCTCTATCCCTTCATCCTCACCCCTCTATCCCTTCATCCCTGTCCCCACATCCACATTCCCACGTTGCCATTGCTGTGTCATCCCTTCATCCCCATCCCTATCCCTGCATCCCCATCCTCTCCATCCCATCCATCCCCACGTCCCCATTCCCACATCCTTGTCCTGGAATCTTTTCATCCCCACTCCCCCATCCCTCCGTCCCCACCCCTGCATTCCCACCTCCCCATCCCCATTCCCACACAACCATCCCTGTATTGTTTTATCACCTACACTCACACCTTGCCATCCCTGAATTCCCTGCATCCTTCCATCCCTGTCCCTCCATCCCCGTTCCCACGTTGACATCCCCGTTTCCTTGCATCCCCATCCCCTCCATCCCTTTATCCCCGTTCCCAAATCGCCACCTTGCATCTTTTCACCCCCATCCCTCCAACCCCTGCATCCCTGCGCTCCTCCATCGCTGTTCCCACCCCATTCCCATTCCCTTTCCCGTTGCCTTTCCCAGGCCTGGAGCTGGAGGCGTCCCCGGCCCAGCTGCAAACCAAGGCCTACGTGCGGCAGCTCCGCGTCATCGACAACCAGAACCTGCTCTTCGAGCTCTCCTACAAACTGGAGCCCGGCAGCCAGTGAGGGGGGGCCCACCGGGGACCCCCAAACCCTGGGGACCCCCCCAGGCCCCGGGACCCCCCAACCCGGGGACCCCCCACCCCGGGGGGCCCGGTGCCCCCCAGCACTGACGCACTTTGCCCAGCCCCGACAGTGGGTGCTGCCCCCACCCTCGGGGGGGTGGGTGGGTTTGGGGACCCCCGGCACATACCCCCCCCCCCCCCGGTGCCCCCCTTCCCTGGCGGGGGGCGCAGGGAACCTACGGGGGGGCCCCTCGCCCCCCTATTTTTGTATGTGCCCCCCGCGCCCCCCCAGACGTGTATATTTTGTACTGAGCGCTGTCCGGAATTGTACATTTATTTTTTAAGAAAAAGGAGGAAAAAAAGGAAAAAAAAAGAAACAATAACAGAACCCCAACGAAACAGGCCGGGGGGGGGTGGGGAGCCCCAATAAACGTCTGTCCCGGCGCCCGACTCTGATGTCATGCGAGGGACTGATATCGTGTGGGGAGTGACGTCACAGCAGATTGCCGGGTGGCGTCACAGCACCGGAACTGACAGGGCTGGCTCGACCTTCCCAAGATGGGGACGGCGTGGGAGCTCGCGGTGACCTTCCCAATATGGCGGCGCGCAGCGGTGCCCACCGACCTTCCGAACATGGCGGCCACCAGGGTTCCGTGTGCCCTTCTCAATATGGCGGAGCTGGTGGCGTAGCCGCGCTCCGTCACCGCATCTCGGGCCTGCAGCGGCGGCCTGGCACGGAGCGGGAAATCCCTTCTCGGTGGCGCCGCTCTCTCTCCGGTCACTGGCACGCGGCGGCACCGGGCGCTCCCGCTGCAGCCTTGACCTTCCCAAGATGGCGGCACCCCACACGGCCTCCCGACCTCCCAATCATGGCGCCGAGGCCCCGCCGTGCCCTGCCCACATCCTGTTGTGTCGCGCAGGCGCAGAGCGGCCGCCGCCGCCATTTCGTTCGGCGGTGCCGGGGCCGGGTACGGGAGCGGCGGGAGGAGCCGCGGGTGAGCGGGGAGGGCCCGGGGGGAGCGGGGGGCCAGGCCGGGGCTCAGGGGGCCGCGGGGAGCCGGAGCTGCGGGACGCGGGGCCGCTGTGAGGGGTGTGGTGGCTCGCGGTGGGCGTGTGGGGCCTGTGCGGAGCCCGGGCCCGGCGAGGCCTCCGCGGGGCCCGGGGGGTGTCCGGGCCGGCTGAGGGATCCCCAGGGCCGGCTGAGGGGTCCCCGGACCGGCTGTGGAGTGCTAGGAACCGGCGGGACTGGGGAACTGGAGCCGCCACACAGATCCCCTGTTCCGCTCCACCCTGACCCCTGTGACCCCTGTGGGACCCCTAGACTGACCCCCTGGGTCACCTCAGGGGCCCCTCGCCAGGATCCCCCGGGCCCCACCCTGGGGCTGCCCAGAACCGGTGGGGCCGGGGGCTGAGATCTCAATCGTGGACCCCTTCACGTTGCCCCCTCCCTGGGTGTCCTTTGGGACCCCCACACTGTCGCCCTGGACTCATCCAGTCTTACCCCTGGGTGACCTCAGGGACCCCTCCCCAGGACCCCCATGAACCTCTGCTATCACACCTGGGACCCCCAAAACCGATGCCCTTGAGCCCTTCACCCTAACCCCTGGGTCACCTCAGGGACCCCTCCCTAGGACCCCCCTGTATCCCCACCCTCGGATTGCCCGGGACCTCCACTGTGTGACCCCCTCTGGGACCCTCACACTGACCCCCTGGACCTCCACCCTGAGGGTGTCTGGGACCCCCGCTGTGACCCTTGGGACCCCCACACTGACCCCCTGGGCCCTTCCACCCTTCCCTGGACCCCCACCCTGGGGGTGCCCAGAACCAGCAGGACCGGGGGCTTTGGACCTCCACCTTGGGACCCCCACACTGACCCCTGGAATTACCCTGGGACCCCCACTATCACCCCCTGGGCCCCTTCCCTGGACCCCCACCCTGAGGTTGGGCTGGGGCCTTTCTGGAGGAAGGCAGAAGGATGGGGAGGGGTCTGTGGCCCGTGGTCGTGGTGGCCCAGGGATGACCATGGGCACAGAGTGTCATGGAATCATGGAATGATTTGGGTTGGAAAGGACCTTAAATGCCATCCAGTGCCACCCCCTGCCATGGGCAGGGACACCTTCCACTATCCCAGGTTGCTCCAAGCCCCGTCCAACCTGGCCTTGGACACTTCCAGGGATGGAGCAGCCACAGGGAAACACATCCACGATTCCCTGCTCCCGGTCCGACGGCCTTCCCGCCCACGATGCCGAAGGCATCGTGGGTTGGAAGGCCGGTGGACCGGGAGCACGCGCCCGCTGTGGGATCACATTCCATCGGGATAACCCCGTCGGGATCACACTCTTCCAGTCAGTGATTCCTGCCCGGCCCCATCGTGTCCCACCTCTTCCTTCCCGGCTTCCTTTCCCTTCCCGGGAAAGGGGAGAGGCAGGGAAGGCTGTGGGCCCGGCGGGACGGGCTTTTCCTGCTTTTCCCTTTGGTGCAGCCCGAGTTTCAGGACGTGATTCCCTCGCTCCTGATTAAAGGTTTCCTCTGGCGAGTGACCTGAGATGAGCTCGGAAGGAAGGGGCGAGCCTGACTTGAGGGTTCTGTGGTTGGGAATGGGAAAACCTGGGATGGGGGAATTGAGGTTGTGGAAGCTGGAGATGGGATAACTGAGGGTGTGGAAGCTTGGAAAGGAGAAACTGAGGCTGTGGAAGCTGGGAATGGGCAGACAGAGACTGTGGAAGTTGTGGAAACAGGCTGGAAGCTGGAAATGGAGAAACTGAGGCTCTGGAAGC